AGCAGGGGTGGGGAGTGGAGTTGGGAATCAGAATCTATGATAAAAACAAAACTGATACTTCCCTTTGACTTTGTTTTTTAGTATCATAAACATGCTGAGTTTGTAGTCGCCTTGTATGAGTCTATTATCTGCAGATCTGCAGGTCTCGCGCTCGCGGGGTGCTAACTGTCCCATTTATTGCTTCTTCTAACTCTCCCCTATGATTCACACGACGTGTGTCATTTCATTTATTTATTTATTTTAGTTTTTTGCTATAGGGTGCATGCACTCACTGGAGAGAGAGAGAGAGAGAGAGAGAGAGATAGAGAGAGAAATCACCCCCCAGGGAGATAGCCACGCCATAGTCCCTTCTCTCCCAACTTCCTCTTGGAGTTTGGGCACATATGCCTGGCAGGTTTTTTGTTGTTGTTGTTTTTCTTTTTCCTTTTTTTTTCTTTTTTAGTGGGAGATTTTTGCCATAGGGCATGTACGCTCACTGGGGAGACAGAGGGAAAGTGAGAAATCACCTCCTTCTCCTCCATTCTCCTCTCAGGGTTTTGGGTATGCATGCACCTGTGCCTGAGGTGAGTTTCAAGTCCCCAGGTCCAGGACTCAAACCGCATCAACCATGTGGGAGTCCAGCGCCTTAGCTACTATGTCACCTGCTGGCCCCGCCTGGTGTAGTTTTAAAGCTGCGGGTCTGGGGCTCGAACAGTGCAGTTGGCCATGTGGGATCCAGCTGCCTTATCCATGCACCGGCTGGCTCGAGGTGTGTAATTGTTTACAGTGAGCTCATCTTTAGTGGCAGTCTCCCCCCACTCCCGTGGGAACCCCATGCGCCCTGTACTGTAGAAAGCCTCTACAAGGAAGGTTTGCCACTGTTCCTGCTGGGGTTTCTGAGCGGGTTACTATCCTGAGCACATTTTTATGTAAGTCTTTGACTTGGGGTTTCCACACCATATTCCTGGTATAAATGTGGACTCTGATCCAGGGGCGGGCTTGGGATCTTCATTTCTCACGGCAGCATTTCCACCCCTCAACTGCCTCCTTGGGGCATTGGATAAGTTCACGTGTTTCCCTTTCATGGCCAGTGCTGCCTCTGACCTGTCCCTGGCTTGATACCGTGTGACAGCTTTAGCTTCCTGCTTCTCCTGGCTCCTGACGGGTGTGTTACACCCCCAACCTCCCCTAGGGAGGGTCTACCTCCAGGGCGATCGCAGCAGTCTCTCGCACACTGCTTTGGCGTTGCATTTCACCCAGCTACGTTTTGGTAGGCTTGGTCTGCCTGGTTCCTGGACACCGACCTCAGTTCTCCATTGGCTCTCTGTGACTAAAACGAGGTGTGAGGACTACGCGTGCACAGGGCTGTGCAGAGCCTGGCAGAGATGCCCACAGCAGCCAGTGAAGGCTGTTGGTACGGCAGCTCCGGGGCTGGTGACTTCCTGAGTTTCTGTGCTGCACAGACTTCCTCCTGCACTAGCTGAGCCATCTGGACTCCAAGGTAGGGAGCCTGCCCTGTCCTTCGGGGTGGACTCTCATGGGACCAGGGGACTCTGCGTGCTCAGAGGCATCCACAGTGACCGTGGGAGTCCTGCGCCTCCTGCTCATCATCTCCTCCCAGGCCCATATCATGGCAGCTTCTCCCGCTCCTCTTCTCATTGCAGCCGAGAAAGGGGGTTGAGGCGAGGCAGCCATGGGAAGAGGAGGCACCCTTCCTCCAGCGATGGGAGACTTTAAGGAAGGAAAGCTCCAGCACACAGTTGGAGCCAGGGCCTCACCCTAGGGGCCCCAACCCAGAGGACCCTAGAACTGCCAAGGGGTGGATGGCAGCCCCAGGGGTGCCCCTTAGAGAGGTAAGAAGGTAGAAGGAGGTACCAGCCCTAGCCAGCCAACCTGAGGAAGCCGGGGACTGGCGTGCCCCCGACCCCCTCTCTCTTATGGCCGGTCCCCTTCTCCTTATCACTTAGGAGAGGCTCAGATCCGTTCCAGACCAGCAGCCTAGAGCCGTGGGCTGGAGAGGAGAGATGGCGCTGAACTAGAGCAGCCCAGCGGCGGAAGGGAAAGTGGGTGATAAATTTAAATAACCAGCTTGACTTGGCAGCTTGCTGAGTTGTGATGCAGTGAAATTAAAATCTCGGCAGAACTCGCAAACACCACCCAGAGAAATCTGTCTCTCTCCTCAGTTCCATGAGAGCGGGAGGGGAGGGCAGGCCACTGAGCTGTGCCCCAGCCTCTGTAGCCACCCTTGCCTGCAATGTGATTAGCGGTGTCCTGGCCCACTGGGCCCTGCTCTCTCCTCACACAATAGCCCGGGCTCCTCTTGCCTCCCAGTCCTGACCTTATGGAACAGCTGCATCAAGTGGCTGGTGAAGTTTGAAATCAGCCTCCGGTGCCAGGAGGCGGCAGGAATATCAATAAGGGCCGGCTTTTCAGTGGGCTAGGGCACTCCCAGGCCAGTTCCTTCAGGACGCATCCCCTAAGGCACGCAGCTCAGCTGCCCGTCCTCAGGGGGGAAGACGAGCTGGCTGCCTGAAAGGTGGGGGACACGGAGGGCTCCCTAAACACCCTGACGCACCCAAGCCAGGCTGTGGGCACCGTGACCTCCCTGCCCAAACCGCTTACCTACCCAGTGGGCCTTTCTTTCTATCCCTCCAGCAAAGCCTTTCATATTCTCCAACAAAATAAGCTTTTAAAGAATCTTTGGGTGAAATGTCTACAAATCCGTCAAGAGCCCCTCCCACGCCCAGACCTGCTTGGAGCCCATTCTGACAGACGACAACGTCTTTCTAGAAGAGCTCGCCCGAAGCCCACCTCTCCTGGCTCTGTTCTAGTGCCGCTCACAGCTCCCGGCCAACTCCGGACAGTGCCCCGCTTCTCACCTTGATAGTACTCCGGCAAATTCTGGCTGTTCTCATAATAAACACATCATGAATCATTCATCTTTAATAGATTATGCAAATGAGGAGGACATAAAATCAACAAAGATCAATAACTGCAGCCGTTTAATTGCCAGCAAAAAACATTTTAAGAAGGAGCATAATCTCCAGCCCTTTCTTGGGTAATGGCACTATTAATCCAAACACTGGATCTTGGCCTAAGTGTGGAAAAATCATTCCCTACTCTCCCCCCGCCCCCCACCTCTCCTCACACTTCTCTCTTTTTGGTAATTTCCAGTTTCTGAGCGAGTTTCCCCGTCATTACCACTGGTGAACAGCTCCGAATGTTAATGGTTCTGCTTTTGTTACTCCTCGCTTGATTGAAATGTCGCATACAGATTGAGATGTTAGTGCTAACTTGCCACCTGGGAATGTCAAGCTGGGTCTGAAATGAACTTTTCTCACACTTGGATCCAGATGGATCAGCCGGAGATGTTCCCAGGCTGAGCTGGGACCGTTCCAGGGCCATGGGGGGGAGGTGGGAGGGGGCTGCTCAAGGTGGAGCCACTTCTGCACCAGCCCCAGGGTCTCCTGTGGCAGGACCCCTACCCCAAAGACCCTCATCTCCACCCCAGGAGGTAGCTGCCTTCTGACTGGCCCTGAGCCCAGGGAGGCACAGCTGGGGTCAGAGAAAAGCCTCCCGGGCTGTCCTTTACCAGTTGCCTGGGGCGGGCCACATTGGGGAATGACCACTGTTCTCTCAGCACGTCAGGGGAAAGGTGGCCTGCCTTGGGCCATATGTCCCCCTTGGTCAGGCTTCTGAGCTGGACTAAGGGCAGCTCGGGCCGAGGCCATCTGACCAGAGGCTGTGTCCGGACCCAGCTAAGCCAACGCGCTAAGAGGAGGTGCTGAGAACTGGCCCTGCCAGTGCGCCCCAAAGCCCAGTCCAGCTCTCCAACACTTCCAGGCTCAACTCCATCTAGACTGGAAACAGCTGTACCAGGACACGCCCTTTAAAAGAACCTGGGGAGCTAGCAGGGCTCTCCTGAGCCCCCAGGTGGAGGCGAGGTGGCCACCTGCAGCCCAACTCAGGTTCAAGTGGAGCCATGCTCCGATGAACTCTGAGGCAGAACCAGGGCCCTGCCCTGCAGCAGGCACACCCCTTGTGATGTGGGCTACAGCAGCCTTGCCGCCAGGTCCCCTGGCTGCCTCTGCTCGCCTCGCTCTGCAGGTAACGCCTCAGTGTCTCCCAATCCCCACCGAGACCCTTCTCAATCATCCTGTCTCCCAAGGAACGAACGGCACATTGGCTTTAGTGCCTCCAGAATAATTAGGTGAATTTTAATAACACCTCAATGTGAGTCTCTCTCACTTGGGCAGTCTCCTGGCCCGGAACCCCTTCTGCAGTGCCAGGCACCCCTGCAGCCTGCAGCTCTGTGGCCTGGTGCTGTCGCTGCTGGCCTTTTCCTGCACCACTGCCCGGCCTTCCTCACTCTTGTTGCCTCTGCTGCTTCTAATCCACGGAGGCTCCTGGCCAGTGTCTCCTCCCCTGCCTGCCTGTAGGCTAGGCCTCCCCTCCCTGGCCTTGCAGCCAAGCCTCGGAGTCAGCGACCTCTCTGGGAAACGGGAGGAAAGCTGCAATGATGTGCTGGCCCCTAACTCCATAGAACCGGGTGTTGCCCTCAAGCCCAGAGCCACAGCCACATGCGGCCTTGAGGGAGAGGAAAGTGGGTCTCTCAGGAGCCTCGGGGACATGGAGCATGGATGCTGGGCACTGAGCTCCCATGCCTCCACTCTGTCCCGCCTGGCCTGTTTGCCTTCTTCAGTCTGCGCATGTCCTAACAAGAGGCTCCTGATCCTGGACAGCCAGAGGAGGCAAGGAAAACGGCCAAGGGAGAGGCCAGAGGACAGGCAGGAAGAGCCAGCCACAGCCCCTCCTGGCTTCCACCTTTCCAGACAGCGCTCAGGGGCACTCTGACCATGGTTTTCCTCCCTGCATCTGCACACATCTGTCCAGGGAGCACCTGGCTTCTGGAGGCCTGTTCTCTCTGAATATCACGGCCAGGGACCCACTTGTCACACTGGGCCCCAGCTGGCATGGCTGAGGTGCCCCCACTGTGCCCACCCTCCTGGACGCCGCCTTACCGGTCACAACGGGGTATGTCTGCGTGCCTGACACGTTGCTGCCCAGCTCAGGGTTGGTGGACGCAGATAGACTCGACTTGACTTCATCAAGCCCAGGGGTCAGGGCTGGGAGGGAGTACTCATTCCCCTGGGAGGAGAGAGAAAAGCGACAGCTCTCTATTGATGCGCTTGCTCGCACAGGGAGGGCTGGGTGTGCAGATGGGGAGGAGGAACGGGACCCTCCCAGATGGGGTAGAAGGAAGGCCTGGCAGAGGGCGGGGAGAGCAGGGGCAGGTTCAGCCTGTGAGGGACAGTTCTGTGCAGGTGGGGGCTGATCTGACTTGGCCTCCCCAGAGGTGTGGCCTAGACCTTTGGGGCGGTTACCCCAGCGCCCTCTACCTCCCCGCAGCACCTCCTACCTATGCCCTAAGGGCAGAAGACTGCAGTGGGGATCCCCTTGCTAAAAGGCATGGGGTGTCTGGGTCCCCGTGGGGTGGGGAGTCTTGGGAAGGAGGGGCAGACGTGATGTGATGACGCAGGCAGCAGCTGGGGGTGGAGCCTAGCGCAGCCTCTTCCAGCCTGGCACTGCTGGGCCAGCTGATGGGGTATGGGCGCCCCTTTTTAAAAAACAAACAAAGACAGCCCCACGGGCCCCTTGCTCTCTGCCTGTGCACTGGGGTATGAAATTGGGGAGGGGGAGAGTCCACATGGCTAACAGAAGGGTGGGAGGGGGCCAGTCATTGACTCTGAAAGGGTGCCCTGCCCGAAACACTCGGGTAATTGCCTTTTTATTACACCCACCACCGAGCCAGACCCCAGAGCTGGGCAGACCAGGAGCCTGCACGAAGCAGGAAAAGTTGCTCTGATTAATATTACGTTAAATTAAAACTGATTTTCTGCTCTTTCGGGTCCGTTTTTTTCCCTTCCGTTTCCTGGCCCCCCCAGAGGAACCCCTCCCCTCCCTGGCTGGACGGGATTGCCTCGTCATTTCCAATTCCTTCTCGTATTGATCTTCCTGTAGAAATCAGTTTTGTAATTAGCTGCAAATTAGGCCTTCTACTGGGGGTGAAGCTGCCCCCTGATTTATCACCAGAGTAATTCGCTGTGATCGGAGAGAAATTAAAATGAACTCAATTAGGCTTCGGATTTGCTTTATGGGCCCTGCTCCGAGTTTCAGGGGGAAAAATGACTGTGCTGGTGTTTAATAGTCTAATGAAAGTAAATAAAGGTTATTCATTGTAATACAGCCGGGGACTCGGGGAGGGTGCACCGAGCGCCCCGCCTCGGCCAGCTCCTCCTTTGTTGGTTTATGGCTCAGGGCACCTTAAAAAGACTTTTGATTTTTGTTTTATGAAGACAAACAGCTTATGGGATAAAAGGACGGGCGGGGAGAAGGCGCAGGGCTGGGAGCTGTTGGAGTCTCGGAGTGGAACTGTGCTGTGTGGAGCCTGTGGGGCTGCGCTGGTGCGCGCGTGTGTGCGCGTGTGCAAGCCCAGCATGCCGCGCTGTGCCGTGGCTGTGGCCGGGCCTGGGCTGAATGTGTGGGAAGGATGGGCGTGCACCTCTGCATTCGAGAGCATGCGCAGCCACAGTGAAGGTGCATGGCGGGGGCATGTGCTGCTTTTTGGGGACAGTGTGCACCTCTGGCTCCACGGCGCTGGTGCGACCCTGTGGGTGTGCAGTGTGTGTGGAGGGTGGATGGAGGGGGACCAGGAGAATGGTGGTGGTCTGTAAGTACGTGCGCATCAGGAGACATGTTTCTACCCTTTGTATTTTGCTGGTGCGCTGTGTACTGTGTGTTCTGGGCCGTTTTGTCCACAAGAAGTGTTGGGTACAAGGGTTGGGCCATCCCCCTGCCTGGGGTGACACTGGATGGCTGGACTGGGAAGCAGGAGGCAGGCATGGCCAAGCTCTCCTCCTGATGCTGGGCAAGAGGCACCTTACAGGCACGTGCAGGATTTCCGTATGACCCCAGGGGGTGGGGCAAGGGACACGCACAGCAAGGGGACATCTCTGAGTGCTCCATGCCAGAACCAGGGAATAGCAGAGCTGGAAGAGCCTTCACAGGCCCTGCGTCCATGCCCTTCATCGTATGGATGGGAAACTGAGGCTCAGGAAGGCATAAGGTATACCCAAGGCCATCCTCTTGCACCCAGAGCCCAGCATTTCTAATTACTGTACCCTGCGATGGTTTCTCCTGGCCGCACCGTGAGGCCTTAGGTGAGCATGTCCACACCGCACACACGTGGTACACCGCTGATGCATTTGTGGGGTTCGCTGTGCCGGTTCTCCAGAGGCCTTGTCTGCCCAGTCCCTTTCCACCTCTGCAAGCAGAGAGTGCCTCCTCACCTGTTCGGATTTGATGTGCTCAGATGCCTGGAAGACGTCAGGGTAGGAAGGACGCTCGAAAACCCGATCCAGAGCCTCCAGCTGCTGCTGAGTGAAGGTGTCAGCTCGCAAGTGCTTCCGCAAACTGTCCACGCCACTCTGGGAGTCTCCATTGGGGACCGAGCCTTCAGACACTTCTGGAGAACACACAGACACTGGGGTGTTAGTGCCAGGCCGGTGGAGACACGAGAACAGTGCGGTGGGCTGAGGACCTGGCTCTGGCTCTGGGGCACTGTACTTCTGGGACCCCCGACTTGCAGCTCCCAGGCCGGAAGGGCTGGCGCAGGAGGTGGGCCTGCCTCGGTGATCCAGCCGGGAAGCCAGGGCCCCTGAAGGACCTGAGAGGAGACTGGGGTGTGGTCACCATGTGGGGTTTGGAGAGAAATGGGCAGAGGGGCAGCCAGAACGGCCCCCAGGGCCTTCTGTCCAGGGAATGTCTCCCCAGACCCCCTTTCTGTCCCCCAGCTTGGTCAGCCTGGGGGAGGAGCTGGCGTCTAGCCCTGCATTACTGAGCCTGTGGAGAATTGAACTCGGCTCCGAGATGAATTTCAGTTCCACTGATTCCAAGGGTTGAAAACCATCAAATCTCCGAGGCTGAGAGTAATGTGGAGACTGGGCGAAGTAATTAACTTCAGCCAGAGGGAGGCGGGGCCCTGAGAGCAGAGCTGGGCCCAGCCTGACACATGGAGGCCCTAAGAAAGAGGAGGTACACGCAGGGGGGCCTGGAGTCTGGCGTGGGTCTCCCTCCTCAGGAGCTAGCTCCTTGGTCCTGGACCCTCCCGCAGCCTCCCCAGAGAGCCGAGATACCCACGAAAGGGGGACATGAGGTGCCACACTGGGCTGTGGGCAGGTCCTGCTCTCCCCAGGCCTCTCCCCAGGCCTCCCAGCTGTGGGTCCCTCAGAGTCCCCAGAGCACACAGTGGGCAAGGTGTCCTCTCTGCTGGCCCTCCCTGAACCCCCACCCTGCAACTCTCCCGGCTCAAAGCTGGGTCCCCTGTGCCCAGCTTGGCCGCTCCCTGGCTTCCCTCAGCCTGAGATGGACTGGGGAGCCTTGGGCCCAGGGCCAGCCCATGCTGTAGGCCCCAGGGTGTTCCTCTGGGACTGTTATATATATCAGTTTATAGGTGATTATACGATATGATATAATCAATATTGCATTATATACAGTAACACCGTACAGTACCATTCGGGAGACCATAGAAAATATTACATATTGATTAACCTCAACCTGCAGCCATCTTCTCCTGCTGGCCTCCCGGATGGAGCTTGGGGTCTGCTCTCCTAATGGAACCTCCCACTCCCCTCCACACTCCATCCTGGGGGTAGGGGGTGGGAAAGAAGAGAAAGTGTGTGTGAGGGAGAGACATCCCAACCAGAAGATCGGGTCTGAGGCAGGTGGACAGAGCGGCCTCAGTGGCATCCCTGTGTTCCTGTGGACACCCGATCTGGTGGTTGTGTCTGTTCCAGGCAAGGCTTTGGAAAGATTTTCAGTCTTTGAGGGTATCTGTGTGTGAACTGGGGCGTGGCATTTTTGGTGTTCCCTCTTGTATGCATGTCCACAGTCTGTACGCATATACACATCCAGATAAATACAGGATAAAGTGAAGACCTCTCTGGAAGGGTGTGTGTGTGTGTGTGTGCATGTGCATGTGCAATTGCACAGGGAGATGAGCCCACATTCCGTGTCTCCAGAACATGCCATCATCCTCATGTCACTCCCTGTACCTATCTGCGTGTCCCCGTGTGTCTAATTCTCTCTTCCTATGGCTTCGGGAAGCCCTGCTGTAGGAGCTGAGGGAGGGTGGAGGGTCTTTGTGTGTGGTTGTTGCAGGGTCACCCAATGGATCCTGGGCAGGAAAGCATGCATCTGTCTGTGAGTGCGTTCGCACATGGTGTGCATGCGTGTGTGCGCATATACGTGTGGCAGGCCTGTAACTTGCGTATACGCCTGTGTTGGCTTGGCCCACCCCTGCCTCTGCGTGTGCGGTGTGTGTGCGGCGTGTGTGCGGAGGGGCTGAACTGAAGCTTTGTCCTCAGGTCACTGGCTGGAGGAGTCTCTTTGCCTTCATTTATTCAGGGGCCCTTCAGATCTTGACAAATCTGTCACTCTAAATTTGCGAGAGATTATGGTGCTCTCTCCCCAGCCCGCAGAGAGGTGATATATGATATCTGCTGCCCCTATTGATTGCCTGATCTGGTGGCAGAGGCCGGCGAAATGAACTTGAAATGAACATCATGCCTCAACTCATTGTGCGTATAATACACTACTTAATCCCACATTTTTCAGCCGCTATGGAATTCAATTGATCAATCATGTTCCACTGATAGTACTGTTTTAGGGGTTATTGCTGCTCCCTCCACTCGCTGACCTTTTTATTTATTTATTTTTTTGTATACTCAGGCCCTGGTGGTAAGACAGGTTACAGAGGCAGCCACCAGAGAAAGGGGAGGGAGGGAGGGAAAGGCCAAAGGAAGCCCGCACTGAAGAGGTGGCAGTGGGGGCGGGAGACAGGAAGAGGAGGGGGAGGGGAAGAAGGTGCTAGAGCAGCAGGAAAACAAGGTGGTCTCAGCGACCAGAGAAAGGGGAGGGAGGGAGGGAAAGGCCAAAGGAAGCCCGCACTGAAGAGGTGGCAGTGGGGGCGGGAGACAGGAAGAGGAGGGGGAGGGGAAGAAGGTGCTAGAGCAGCAGGAAAACAAGGTGGTCTGATGAGAGCCTGCAGAGGAGCTTGGGGAGGCTGGAGGAGGCGGACAGCGGCGGCGAGGAAGCAGGAGACACGGCACCCAGGAAGAATGGCGAAGGAGCACGGGGCGTGGTGGGGCCGGGAGAGGGCAGCCCCAAAGCAGCCACAGGGTCTCCCCAGAAGAGGGGTCGGCCTAGGAGGGGAGGAAGGAGGACTGACAGCAAGGAGGGGGGCAGGGAGGGTGAGGAAAGGAGCCTGGGAGAAGTCCAAGGAAGGAGGAGGCAGAGGAAGGAGGAGAGGAAAAGGAGAAAGGCCTCCCCCACTGATGCTGGGGACCGCACTGTGGCTGGGGTGAAGACATTTGTGGCGGGAATGAAACCAGCAAAACCAGCCGGCTGTGCCTTCACCCAGACTGGTGTCCCACTACAGAGGGTGACAGGGGCAGGCTGGGGGGGCTAGGAGGATGGGTAAAAGGAGGAAGAAAAGGAGAAGATAGTGAGAGAGGAAC